ATTTATTTATTTATTTATGTATTTATTTATTTAGTTAGTTAGTTATTCATCCATCCAAACTCTGCTGAAAAACAAAAATTCTTTATGAATGAAATGTTTTTCCTTCAGTTTTATTTTCCAGCAGATTTTCATTCTGTCACCATCGCGCGTAGGTGGAGTGTGCGCGTGCTGCATGTATGTGCACGTGCACGGAAAGAGAGCGCGCACGCGCAGGGCTCCTCCGACTCGTGACGAATCTTCATCCCGCATTTGTTGCTCCTGATCGGGATCCAGGTCCCAACACGTCCGGTTCATGATCACGCTGCGCGCTGGAGACGGGTCTTGGAGAAAAGGGGAGGAGCCTGAATCACACGCACGTGTACACGCGCACGGATCGGCTGTGAGCAGAGCGCAGTTATTTGGTGTCAGCGCGCGGCTTGAGGAGCCTGGTCCTGGTTCCTGGTCCTGGTCCTGGTCCTGGTCCTGTGGAAACTAAAGGCGCGCTGCATCTCCTCTTCCTCCTCCTCTTCCTCACTGCAGGCTGGATCCTGACATCGGTCCTGGACCTGGTCTGGTCTGGTCTGGTTCTCCTTCCGGACGGAGACCCTGGACCTCCTGTTGGAGTTAAAGGAGTCCGTTAAGGTCTCGGCTCGGGTCCTTGGTTCTGGTTCCGGTTCTGCTGGGCTGCTGGAGTGATGCTGAAGCAACAAGCGGCAGCGCGCGGAGCCTCTGCGCGCTCTTTGCGGGATTAAAGGCGCTGCTGATGCGGGTCTCTGCGGGTCTCTGCGGGATTCCTCTGCAACAGTTCGGAACCGGAATGAAGCCGGACCTGAGCTCGGTTCTGAACCCTGTTCTGACCTCGGCTCCGCGGATCCTGTAACTCTGCTGAAAGTGGTTCTGTTTGGGTTCTGGGCTGGAGGGAGGACGGGGATCCGGATCCAGTCATGCTCAGGTCCTCCTCTTCGCTCCGGGTCCTGTGGGTCCGGCTCCTCTGGACCCAGGTCCTGCTGGACTCGGTCCGCTCCCAGGAGATTTACGCGCCGCACTCGATCCGCGTGGAGGGGGACGTGACGCTGGGGGGGCTGTTCCCGGTGCACGCGCGGGGGGTCCCGGGGACCCCGTGCGGGGACATCAAGAAGGAGAACGGGATCCACCGGCTGGAGGCCATGATGTACGCGCTGGACCAGATCAACGGGGACCAGGACCTGCTGCCCAACGTCACGCTGGGCGCGCGGATCCTGGACACCTGCTCGCGGGACACGCACGCGCTGGAGCAGTCCCTGACCTTCGTGCAGGCTCTGATCCAGAAGGACACGTCAGACGTCCGGTGCACGAGCGGAGAGCCGCCGGTGTTCGTTAAACCCGAGAAGGTGGTGGGCGTGGTCGGAGCGTCCGCGAGCTCCGTGTCCATCATGGTGGCCAACATCCTGCGCCTCTTCCAGGTACCACCTCCTCCTCCTCCTCCTCCTCTTCATCACTCTGAGCGTGGAGGAGTTCACTGTTGGTTCTGATCAGAGATGTTTCAGCCTGCTGGTCCTGGTCCTGGTCCTGGACCTGGTCCTGGTCCCAGTCAGCTTTAGTAAGGACCTGTGAGTTTTAGATGTTCTCAGCCTTCATTAGTTCAGCTTCTGGCCCACCCACCCTGCCTGGTCCTGGTCCTGGTTCTCCTCACCTGGTCCTGGTTCTCTTTGTGGTCCAGGTTCTACTTGTAGGTGTTGCTCTTCATTGGTGTTTCTTTAGAACCTGGTCTCTGTGTCTCTTTAGAACCTGGTCTCTGTGTCTCTTTAGAACCTGGTCTGGTGTCTCTTTAGAACCTGGTCTGGTGTCTATTTAGAACCTGGTCTGGTCTCTTTAGAACCTGGTCTCTGTCTCTGGAGCTTAAAGTCTGCAGATTAGGTCAAGTCTTTGTCAGTATTTGGTGGAAGTTCTGTTGCAGGTGTTCTGTTGTCAGGTGTTCTGTTGCAGGTGTTGCAGGTGTTCTGTTGTCAGGTGTTCTGTTGCAGGTGTTGCAGGTGTTCTGTTGTCAGGTGTTCTGTTGCAGGTGTTCTGTTGCAGGTGTTCTGTTGTCAGGTGTTCTGTTG